TATTTTACTCGGCGAAACTAATTTGTGGACGACCTTTGAAGGAATCTTAAGTGACTTTGAGAAATGTTAGGCAATCAGCAAACAGTCAGTATAAAGTAAAAATAATGTAATACAAAACCAAGAAAATAAAGTGGATACACTTCTTATACGTGGGTCATAAACTTATCAAGGTTAGAAAGAGGTTCAGAGGTCCGAAAATCGTAATGCATGCAGTAGAGCAAATCATCCATACGGTTGCAGAATAGTCGGCGTCTGGAGCAATGATAAAGTCTCAAAAACTCTTTCAGCCACGACCACATAGTTTCAGTATTGTTTACGTGCATTCCGGTTGTTGAGTGCATAAAATATCACTTGTGGATAACTACACGATGCACATAACCAAGCCTATGTAGGAGTCTGTACGCTCTTCAAACACCCGTATATATCGTAGTACCTGGCTGCAGCCAGTGTTACTGGTGCTTTTATTGTCTAGTTCGCGATAATCTTCGTAATTTACCTTAGTTAGCAATTATATATGGGGTTTTCATCACGAACTGACATCAGCTACAATGCCAGAAATCTATTTAACCAAATGGATGAATGACTTTCGCGTTAAAATCCGAGATCTATTATCTTATACCTGATTGATTCGTCCACAAATTATAGTCTCGCCGTGTTATTTGTTATAGCCGCTCAATGATCACGTTTTGTACGAAATTCCCTGTGAATCGATCATACGTAAGCATTAAGCACTGAAGTTGGCGCCGTAACCTTGAAATCCATAAAACGCTTCTGATTGGCTTGTCCATAAATTAGAGTCTCGTCCTTTACTCTTTAACATATATGATTGAAAAACTGTATGCTTTCTGAAATGGTTAAATAACAATACTACTTGTTCAAAATAATTGAGATGGAATCAGTTACTGAATATTTGTAAGTAGTATACTGTGTTATCCGAAAATAACAAGCCAAGAAAGAAATAAAGATTTTAATCAGCGAGGGTTTTTATGTAGATTGTAGTAATTTAATAGTTGAATTCATGAGTCAGTTGAAATTAGACCGCCATGGAAAATCTGCAGGCACCAGATGGCTGTTTCATTCTAGAATTGGGTCATGAATGAGCACTACTGAGGAGTCCCATACTAGGATGAAACGGCCGTCCACTACTTATAGGTTTTCCATAATAGTCTAGCTTCAATTGACTCATGGTTTCAACTATTAAAATAAAGATTTGACATAAAAATAGATAGAAAACTGAGATACTTTACATGATAGAATAAATATTGCAGTTAATTGGCTCAATACAATTGGATAAGTTCATGAAAATAGTAAGTATGGTTTAGAATTGTCTCATTAGTTGAAAATCATAATTGACATGATTCAGCATCATAATAAAGTCAATTCTAGAAACTTAGTTTTAATGAACAGTTGAACCATTTTCTAGTCCATCCGTAACTAGGCAAATATCGACGATGGTGATGTTGTGCGACTTAGATGGATTGCTATCTTCTAGGTGTAGTGTTCTATGGGATATAGGTAAACATATCACATCCCATGTTAGTTACGAGGTACTAAACGATATATGTTATTAGTTGGAACTATTGAAGCAATATGTCAAGATCTTGGTTTAGATTTCTCAGGGGTGAATATACATATAAATCCATAAGTTGTGAATACATTTCATTCGATTTACCGATTACAGCATCTAAGTCATCCTTGTTTTTCTCACTTATGAAAAAGTTGAACAGGCGTTTAGTCAGTGTGAATATTAGCATTCAAGTTGGATGACTACAAATCTAACACTAAGCTAGATGGATTCACTGCGAAGCTTTCCTTCAAGTTCTTAACGACGAAATTATATATATATATATACACGTTTGATTTGTGCCTGTTATTAGTGCTTCTGTTTTTGACTGCTTGTGGAATATACTCCTCTCTTTCGAACTTGAACTTCTCTTTCTAGTTAGTGGGGTTGGGACGCGTCAAGATAGTTAGTTTATCTGTCATTGTATCACAGAGTCTTTGTTTCCGTTCTCAGATAATCTCTTCAAATATAGTACAAACATTTAAACAAAGTCAAAATGACAAGGTTTGCAGGTTGTGATGAATTAATTGTGTTTTGTTGCTTTCTCTTTAGTTATACACTAACTGATATGTTTAATTATTTCCAATCATTAACAGAGTGTTAAGAATTGTAGTTTTAACAAAGAGGAAGCTTCTTATAATTGTTTATAATGAATGGTCTAAGGTGTTTAGATCGATTTATTACGTAATACAATGAATGTTTTGGAAGGGAAAGAGAACGTATTAGTTACATTCATTAGATGGTTGATACAGTGGTACAATTAAAAGTTATCATATGAGAAGGTTACGCTGTGACAAACACCCCCCCCCAAATAACAACTATATGTCGTTGGTTAAGAATTTGGTCTCCCTTCTTAAGGCTTACATACATATATCTAAATGAGTGCTTAAGCGTGTGATTTGGTTTAGCTCAACAAACTTCATTCTAAACTCTTTGTCTATTCACTTAGTAGTCAGTTGACGTTGTAGATTGTGAATAGAAAGTGTATGTAAAACAGTATTAGTCTCGGACACTACACATCATAACAGTTATGATTACGATTGGTTGCAGAAAACAGAGATCAAAATATTATTAAGGTAGTTGAAGGTTAACTATTGAACTCCTTTTAAGTACTGGTGATAATGATTGATCGTTTGCTTAGTCAGACTAGTAGATAGTCTGACAAGAGTTAGATGAGTTGTATATTCTCCCATCTTACTATTATTGGATTGTGTCCGTTTTTGGTGTGAAAACGTATATACATACTATTCAGGCTAATCACGTGTTCTTGATCTGAGTTGTGTTGAAGTCCTGTAGAATAGACACTGGGAGAGAATCTAGTGTAGATATTCGTCTAAGGTAAATTAACGTCCCATTCGTGTAGACGTTGAAAACCGAGTGTTATAACAAGTACAAAAGTCCAGTTTAAAGTTTATAATTGCTATGACCTTTGAGAATTTTAATAATATGGAAGTGGAATGTTTATCGATAACTCTGAAGAATTCACTTAATCCACGTTATTCTTCGTGTCTAGTAGAAGGAGAAGTATAGTAGGTAATTTTCTCTTGAAAAGCGTAGAGATTAACAAATACGATTAGTTACGATCTGCTAATATTAGTGGAAGCATTTTCAATCATAAAGATGAAACCCGAATTTCGGGTCGTGATATTAATCTCACTTTATTTGAAACAAGTTCAGAAAGTTTAGATCAACTTATCGTTCTTACATTTTCAATATAGTGTGGTAGAGATTGTTGGTTTTAATTAGAATCACGAATTGACCATTTCTACAAATGTCAAAAACTCAAAAGCACTAGATGGCCATTTAATCTTGAATAGGTTCTTAATTTCAACTGAGATCCTGAGTTTGAGTTCCAATTGTGTGGTCTGCGCTGCTGAGAAGTCTCGTACTGGAACGAATCCATCATTCAACTCTTCCACACTGTTAGTGGTTGTATAATTTGAAACGATTCGTGATTTCAATGAGATCCTCATATTCTTTATAACACTTTTTCTATATTACACTATGTAGTGACAACCCAGATCGTGAAATTTGATGATGAGGGTTCAAATCCCATCAATTTCTTTAACACTGAGGGTATGCGTTGCTAATAAGTACTTACTAGCACAAAACATCGGTCCAGGAGAGGGATTCCTGTCGACTATATCTAGAAACCTAACATTACAATCTATTGCATCTCATGTCAAGTAACTTAAGTCAAATCCACATTTAAACTTGATAAATAAAATTTGAACAGCATCAAAGGGCTGAACAAACATGATATTAATTATCGCTTAGTGATCAATAACGTAAACAGTACAACTTTGATCTAGGATAGACGGGATGTAGCTGATAGTAGAATTAAGGACCCGCATTTCGACCTACTAGAAACTAAGATAAATCTGTATTCCCGAGTTCATGCTCACTTGAGGACTCGAACCAGGTACCACTTGCTCCAGATTCCATTATGTTATCCACTTAGGCTTTGAGTCGAGATCTTCACTTGTTCAAGGGTTTTGAAATCAAATCCTGGATTTCCTTGCTAGCCACATTCCATTTATTCTATATTAACTTGTTTTATAATATCTATATTGAAACAATCCGCACAGGATACAAATACGAAAACCAAAACTGATCAAATCTCAGTCAAGCATAGTAACAACGGAATAATCCGAACCCTTTTACTTCTTCTAAATAGTCAAATTAGGTCATGTTCACAGCATCAGTCGAGTGTCAAAGCCACTACAACGACACCAATCCAACGACCTCACTAAACCATTCAATCCATAGTAGCAACTGGCGGTGTGTTCAAAGGGCAGGGACATAATCAGCACAAGCTTACGACTTGCACTTACTAGGAATCCCTCGTTCACGGGGAATAAATTGACGTGTGATCTGTTAATTTATTTCATATTATTATATTAGTTGATTGATTTCGGTTATATTACTGAACTACTGCTTGCTTTGCGTTGTTATCAGACTAAAGAGTGAACTAGAAAAAGAGAATGCGTTATAGACCAATAGAGTCGAAGATAATCACAGCCTAAAATTCAAGGTCAGTCTCACTGGTAGAACCTTAAGATGCCAGTATGAAAACCGGAAGTCAGATAGGGATTTTGTGGATATTATAATAATTTAATAGTTGAATTCATGAGTCAATCGAAGCTAGATCACCAATGAAAACCTGAAAGCACTAGACGGTCGTTTCATCCTAGAACGGGACTCTTCAGCTGTGCACATCCACGATCTCGTACATGGGATTCGAACACTGGACTGATCGGTCCCACACGAGAATACCGTCACTTACGAGTTGTTCTTTTTTTATAACCTAGTACTGTAAATGTGAATAGAAATAAGAAGTTACATAACAACTTATCAAATTGTTTATTTTTTTAAAATCTGTATTGCTGCATATTCATACAAGTACTTCCCTCATTTATTCATAGTTCTTGTTAAGCTAATATTCTGCATCATCAACATCATCGCAATTCTCTTGAGTGCCTTTTTCATACGGTTGTCTATCTTCTTCAGCTCTATAAATATTGAATAGTGAAACAACATGTCAGCTATTTTAATATGCATAGATGTATATATATGAAGGACAACTATTAAAAATGAGAGGAGGACAGGTAACGAAAATAATACCAATTATATGTGCATCATATCGTTTTCCACAACCGCCATTTTGTGGACCCAACAACCGGAGTGCACACTAACAATATTGAAGCTATGTGGTCGAGGCTGAAGAAGTTTAGCATACAACGGACAGCTGAGAACCAATTAGATGATTTGGACTTTGCAGATTACCTAGCCCTTTTACCGCATACACATGAACAAATGCAGATAAAGACAGCCAGTGTAGCAGCAGTCTCTGCATCAGTAGGCCTCAACATACACAAGGGGAAAAACAAGGTCTTCAAATAAAACACAGAGAACGGCAATCCTATCACTCTTGATGGCGAAACTCTGACAGACGTGGAACCCTTCACGTACCTGGGAAGCATAATCGACTAACATGGAGGATCCGATGCATACGTAAAGTCGAGGATTCGCAAAGCAAGGACCGCATTCATACAATTGAAGAACATATGAAACTCAAAACAACTATCTATCAACCAATATCAAATTGAGAATCTTCAATACAAACGTCAAGACAGTTCTACTGTACAGAGCTGAAACCTGGAGAACTACTACAACCAGCATCAAGAAGGTACAAGTATTTATAAATAGTTATCTACGCAAGATACTCAGAATCCATTGGGTGGATACTATCAGCAACAGCCTTCTCTGGAGAGAACAAACCGGCTTCCAGCTGAAGAAGAAATTAGGAAATGGATAGGTCATACATTGAGAAAATCATCAAACTGCATCACGAGGCAAGCCCTGATTTGGAATTTTGAAGGGAAGAGGAAAAGAGGAAGGCCAAAGAACACATTACATCGGGAATCGAAGCAGATCTGAAAAGGATGAATAACAACTGGAATGAGCTGAAAAGGATTGTTCAGGACAGGGTTGGATGGAGAATGCTGGTGAGCAGCCGATGCTCCTTTGCGAGGAGTAAGAGGCGTAAGTAAGTAAATATCATACTCATGTAAACCATATAAAAGAAGTTTTCCACTTTAACTCTTTGGTTTTGTAGAATATATTTTTACTTTATACTAATTGTTTTTGGATTGGCTAATATTTCTCAAGGTAACTTAAGATTCATTCAAAGGTCGTCCATAAATTATAGTCGCGTCAGTGACAAAAGATATCCCTATGCATTCAATCAGTTAGCTACAAGGTACGAACAGGCATATATACTCATTAGTCCAAGTTGTCCCACCTCATTAGCACAACAGGATAAACATCAAGCTCATGGAAGTAGTCACTTCAATGGTTACTTACTGACTTAATTACTTACGCTTATTTCTACTAATGGTAGTAATATATAAAAGATTGATTGTGTATAAGGATATAGTACAAAGAGAATGATATAAGGCAATTTTAACCTCACAGTTTAAGGTAATCCTTATGCATTACATGTAACTATTTATGTTCTCCAATCAATAAAAGCTTATTCCTACTGGATATACTACTAACAAATTGTAAAAATAGAGAAAAAAATTATGTAAAGAAGATACTACTTATTACTACTTATAACTTACGCTGGTGAATAATTGCACACTACTAAAAATCTTTTACCACATTTTTGTACACCACAACCAATTTCAGTCTCTTCACCATTTACTATCTATAATTATAAAATTAAATGTGTTTAACACTTTGATATAAATATCTACTGAACAATAGATATAATCATAAATTATCAGAAGGGGTTGAAGCTAGATAACCATGGAAAACTTGAAAGCATTGGATGGTCGTCTGTCCTAGTATGAAACTCCTCAGCAATTCGCAACCACGATCTCACCCCCCGGGACTCGAACCCAAGACCTGATGGTCTCGCGCGCAAGCGCTTGATCTTTAGATCATTAAGCCGGCCAGCATCCGACGGTGTAAATGTATAACTTTAACTAATCCATTAAATTGTGACACCGTCTACCATTGTCTTCAGTGAGTTACTGTTTCAAAACAGACTCGGTTGAACTTTAATGGTCACTGCTTCTCACTAAAACTTCAGGAAATAGGAACTAGATTTAGGGTTTTCATCACGAACTGACATAATCTATAATGCCAAAATGCTATTTGGTCAAATAGATTTCGCGTCAAAATCCAAGACTCGTTATCTTAAATCTGATTGGTTCGTAAATGAATTATAATCTCGCCATTTAATCAAGTTATATGCTTTTTATATACATCCGTATTCACTCAAGAGTACATTCAAGATCATTATGGTCACTATTATCTGATAGCCAATGATAATCAACTGTGTATCTAATATAGGATACCTATATTTATGCATGAAATTGGGCAACGAATCCTCGGTACTTTCATATGTGTAAGTATGGACCTTTGGACATAGTGTTAGTAATCTAAGGGTTCTTTAGCTTATCACCATGTAAAAGGTCCTGAGTTCAGTTTATTATAAGTTCATTGGTGTATACTAATGAATAGTTTCAATCTAGACCAATATAAGATGCTACTACCTACCTGGTATTCAAGAATAATTCAACTAGTTTTAATCAGAGACTTCTATCTAAAGTTTGTGCTGACAATGTCGTTCAGAAGAACGATGAAAGCTCCACGATCAAACCATCCAACTCAGAGAACAAAACTCTATCAACTTCAGATAAACTTAATTAAACCATACTGTCTAGGCTAATAAAAATTGTATCTATATTTAAGATGGTTACTTGAACTGTTATTGATGAATTATAACTAGTGTAGTTCAATCATCTTAAGAATCAGATAGTTTCAATTGATAATAATGAAGAATTGAACAATTAGAAAATAATTTAATAGTTGAATTCATGAATCAATTGAAGTTAGATCACTATTAGAAAACCTCAAAGCACTGAACAGCTGTTTCGTCCTAGTATAGGACTCCTCAGCAGTGCTCATCCACAATCCCATCTCGCGATAAAATATTTCAAATAATATTTGAATTGAATAACAATTCTATTTATTATCAACACTTACTTGTTTATACTGCATACATGTATCATTGCATTTGTTATCATTAAAAGAATAGCTCTTGTATTCAACAAACCAACTGGCTACTGCTCTAAAAACAATATAAAAGATAAAGTTGAGAATCGTGGACTAGTTTAAATAACTTAATATCGTAATGACTTTGTTTTAATGTAAGTTAATTTAAGGTGGCTTGTAAGAAATCCTGTCCCAAATAGGTTTCATGTTGATTGGTCAACAGAACATGATCAAACACTAGCTAGTTATATTACTCAATGATCAATCAATATGGATAATTCAGTTCAACAGTAACCCAAACATATCAGTAATAGATCAATAACAACGTCTCAGATCGTGAAACTATGTAACTAGGATTCACATTCATTAGAGAGTTATTTCCATCAAGATTTCACATTTGTCTTGATTGTGAATGTTAATGAGTACGAAATTTATTATTGACATTACCCCCCAATTACCCTTAACTAATCAACAAAAGAAACTTACTTTTCAATGTTGGACTATCAGCAATATTTTGCGCTACTGTACCAAATTCATCAAAATTCATATCACTTGGACTATCATAAGAGTAATCACATCGACTAGCTGAAAGTTGAGCTTTTTCTGCTAAATATGTATTCCATTTCTGTAAAGTAAGACAACGTGGGGAATATTGATAATGACAATCAATACAAAGTACCAGTCAGATAGATATAATTGAGAAGATTGTTATGATTATTTGAATGGATTTATAATGATGGTCGATATGTATCAGATAATAGATATATGTTCACTTCTCTCATAACCTTATTGTCTCGCTACTTAACTCATGACCTTGAAAGTTTATACTTAGGGAAGATCACACTATTTGTAAGTAGTTTCACGCAATATCAAACAACAATTCAAGATAGATATCCTGAAGTTCTAGTGAAAAGCCGTGATCAGTGGAATTGAATCGTGTCTAATGTGAAGCAGTTACTGACTGAAGATAATGGTGAACGGTGGCGCAATATCATGGATTAGTTGGAGTTATACATGAACACTGTTAGATACCGGCTCTGTGGTTTCGAGGTTAAGCGTTAGTGCACAAGACTGAAGGTCCTCAGTCCAAGTCTGGCGCAAGAGATCGTGGATGTGCACTGCTGAGGAGTCCCATACTAGGACGAGACGGCCGTCCAGTACTTCCAGGTTTTTCATCACACAGTAAGAATACAAGTTATGAGATATTTCTTCATAATTAATTCTTCATGATTAAAATACTACTTTAATGAAATAATTCATCAAATCAGAAAGGTCTTGAACTGTTGATGAGTAAGTTAAGGTGATATTAAGTGTCATTGAAGTGGAGAGGGTACGTGTCATCTACTGGTTAGCAGGACCATAAAGGAATACTTCATTTTGATGGTTCTGAAATGTAAACTCGGCTCGATGTGGTCCTGACAACCTCTGAACCTGATGTTGAAGTTCAATGGACGGAAATAAGTGCGACAAAACTAAGTTTGATATATTGATAGTCTACATTTTTTCAACTACTCCTTACATTATGGTAAGGTAGTATCGCTTTATATCCTGGTTGGTTGAGAGAAACACCCTCAGACCTTAAGTTTACTGTTCTAAACCTTGTTTCTCTCTCTCACTCTAACTGCTCTACTTGGAATGGTAGAACTTAAAGCGATCAACTTTCCAGTCAATATCACTCTATTGAGTCATGAAAAATACATAGATATACCCACTATTTTAAGGTAGCAGATGCCATGTACTTACTAAAAGCCAATCGTTTTTCAGTTTATATCAATGTATAATGAAATCACCATTGAATTACTTTAGATTTTAAATGAATCCAATCAGTATCTAAATAATAAATATAGAATCTCTTAAACTACTCTTATAGTTGAATTCATGAGTCAGTTGAAGCTAGACCACTTAGGAAAACCTGGAAGCATGGGTCCAAGCATTGGATTCCTGATCAGTACACATCCACGATCTCGTCCCACGAAACTCGAACTAAGAACCTTTAGTTTTGCACGCCAAAGTCTAAGCTCTAAACCACTGAGCCAAACAAAAGACAGTCTTTTCGTCCCAGCATTAAACTCCTCAGCAGTGCTCATTTACGACCTCACCCCGTGAGGCTCGAACCCAGGAACTTCAGTCTTGCATACAAATGCCTAACCTCTAGATCACTGAGCCAAACAAAAGAGAATCGTTTTTTCCCACCACTGAACTCCTCTTCAGCGCGCATCCACGATTCCGTCCCACGAGACTCGAACTCAGAACCCTCTGTCTTGCACACAAATCCCTAACCCCTAGATCACTGAACTAAATAGAAGACAGCCGTTTCGTCCCACCATTGAACTCTTCATCAGTGCGCATCCACGATCCCGTCCAGTGAGATTTGAACCCTGGGCCTTCAGTCTTACACGCAAATGCTTAAGTTCTAGATCATTGAGCCGAACAAAAAGACATCATCTAGACAACAACAACAACAAAAACAAAAACAAATGTACAACTTACTAATTTTGACATACGTTTTGCTGGAGGTTGATTTGGCATTTGACAAAAACGTATTGAATTACGATAATATTTATGTAATTGAAATACTTCACGTACTTCTTTAGGTAATTTTAATTTTTTACATTGACATAGAATAATAATAAAGAATAATAAAATAACCATAATGTTAATACATTTAAGACTATGATTGTTATTCATTGTAATAACATGTAAATAGGTGTATACAAATAGATTGTAATCTGTGTTATGTTATTTATACTTTAAGTAAAGCCAATATTATTGATTCAATTACGACGTTATACTTATGACATGTTGTCATTATTGTTGCTATGTAATACATACATAGATAGATAATATGAAAAGAGAGATAAGGTTAATAAATGACAAATGATTTACTTGTCAGATTACAATAAAATTGAGAGGAGAAACGCAATGATTAAAAAAATGACTTTATCAGAAAGGAGGGAGGGTTGTGGAAATTGTAGTAATCTTCACAAGACCCATTCTGATAATAATCACCTGCTCACTAGTGACTGATTCCAAGAGATACTTCTGGAGTACTAGTGAGTAGCCGTTACCAGTGGAATTCAACCAGGTCTGTTGTGAGATAGGAATTCACTGATGACAATGGTGTACGGTGGTGCAAGTTCGTGGATTAGTTGAAGTTGGACATTAACACTGTTGGATACAAGCTGGCTCAGTGGTCTAGTTGGTTCAGCGCCTGGTGCGAGACTGATAGGTCCTGGGTTCGAATCTCACGGGGTGCGGGATCGTGGATGCGCACTGCTGAGGAGCCCCATACTAGAACGAAACGGCCGTCCAGTGCTTCCAGGTTTTCCATGGTTGTCTAGCTTCAATTGACTCATAATTTCAAGCAGTGAAATTTCTAAAATCTCCACAAAACCCATTCTGATAGTAATTTAATGGTTGAATTTTCCAAGTTAATTAAAGCTAGACCAACATGAAAAACTAGGAAGTAGTGGACAGTCGTCTCGTCCCAGTATAGGACTCCTCAACAGTGTTTATCCATGATCCTACCCACGAGATTCGAACCCAGGACCTATTGGTCTTATCTGTAAACGCTTAAGCTCTAGAACACTAAGCTGAATTTTAACGGTGTTAATGTAAAACTTCAACTTATGCATGAAATTACACGTGAGACCGAAAGTTCTGGGTTGGAATCCCACGAGCGGGATCATGGATGTGCACTGCTGAGGAGTTCCATACTAGGATGAAATGGTCATCCAATACTTCAACGTTGGCTTAACATCAATCGATTGATGATCTCAATCAAAAATTTAACAATCTCCACAACCCCGTACTGATATGTATAAGAATTAACATTTTAACCTTAGTAGTATAGACTTTTTCGTTTATCAATCAGATATTTTTCCATTTCACTTTCACTTTTTCACTGCTCACATAGGAACATTATTAATATAAATTATTCCTGAATGTAATCTTATAGTTTATGTGAAAGGGTTTGTATATCCCCGTAGTTGATATTAAGAACTGTATAATGAATCGAATAACATAAACCAAATATTGATAATAGTTATTGGTCTGGCTGTTTACTACAACTCTGGAAATAACGGCCAACTTATATTTATAAGCAAAGATGGATGGTAGCTAACAGTGGAATGCAGAACGGGTGTTTCATCCTATTTGAGTCACATAAACTCAATGTACCTGTATTCTAAAGTTGATGTTCACTGCGGTACTTGGACTAAGTACCATTCGCTTCGAATGCCATCGCGTTGTCCACTTAGTCATTGAGTCCTGATAGCCGCTGCATTGCATAAGGCTGTATATATATATATATATATATATATATATATATATATATATATATATATATATATTTACAACTCAAGAACATCTGGAACTCAAAGCAACTGTCAACCAACACCAAGGTCAGGATTTTCAATACAAATGTCAAAACAGTTCTACTGTATGGGGCAGAAACCTGAATAACTACGAAAGCCATCATCCAGAAAATACAGGTGTTTACTAACAACTGTCTACGCAAAATACTTCGGTTCCGTTGGCCAGGCACTATTAGCAATAACCTACTATGGGAGAGAACAAATCAGATCCCAGTGGAGTAAGAAATCAGGAAGAAGCGCTGAAAATGGATAGGACACTCATTGAGAAAAGCACCAAACTGCGTCACAAGACAAGCCCTCACATGGAATCCTGAAGGTCAAAGGAAAAGAGGAAGACCAAAGAACACATTACTCTGGGAAATGGAGATAATTTTGATTTTGATTATAACCCTGACGAAGTTCAGACAAATTTGATGGACAAGACGTTGAAATTATTTAAATTTCACAAATAATAATCTTTCTAGTGGTTTACAAATTTTATTGATTATCCTTTCTATGTTAAAATCTTAACTTTATTGTCTGTGATGATCTTGGATACAATACGGTTGATCTTATGGAAGTGATCTTTCATCAAATCTTCCCTTGTATTCAACTGCGAATAATCCTTTAGATAAAAAGATATCTTCCACCAACAAAGTACTGTGTGAATACAATCTTTGGTCAAATTACCTTATCATTGACAAATGAGTTTGAGAATTCCTAATGTTTTTTGAGTCAATCATCTCGTCATAGAACCCATCCTACATTATTTCAGCTGCTAATGATATTTTATATTCTGGTTAGCGTTTTTTTTTTGGCAGAGTTGTTTTTTACGGGATAGGGATGCTGAACACACTCTCAACCCTCCTTCTTTACCCAGGATTGAGACCGTCATTAGCCCTAGAAGAGTTACAGGTGTATCATCGTTGAACAATCATTTGAATGGAACTAGTCCATTTATATCAACTTCCTTGACAATCAGTATGCATTTGACAGTGTGGATAGGAGAACATTATGGAAACTCCTTCGACACTATGGTTAACAGAGAAAATTGTCAATCTCATCCGGAATTCATACGACGGACTATAGTGCAAATTCGTGCATGAAGGACAGCTGACAGACTCATTACTACTAAGGATAGGAGTGAGACAAATCTGTCTACTCTTTCTTCTGGTGGTCGACTAGAATATGAAGACCTCAACATCTTACGGGTAGCACGGGACACAATGGATAGGCTAGATGCAACTAGACAATTCAGACTTTTCACATAAACTGGATCTTATATCCCAAACACATGAACAAATGAATGTCAAGCCAAACAGTGTGGCATCAACATCTGGCTCAATAGGCTTCAACATCCACAAGGGAAAAAGCAACATCCTCAAATACAACAAAGAGAACCAATATCAATGTCGCAGTCTTAAATACGAAAGAGGGGAGCTTGGGCATTGGATTAGCAACCTCATCTCGTAGAAAATTAACTCTCTAAAAGCAAACGTTAGCCATAATTCATCACAATTTCTTATTCATTAGTATGTTATAATGACTACTAGCTCTATTGAACTAAATGTTTAGTTGAATTCACTATACAATGACATAAATGTGCCAATTAAATAGAATTCCAATAAGATTACTTAACAGAAATGAAATCAATCTGTCAACAACAACAACAACAACACAATCCCCCACTTTTAAGTATAGATTGAAGCTTATCACTGTGTACTTTGTATTCAAATATGTTAATCTAAAACAAAAGGAAGTAGAACATTCATTATTTCTTCAATAATCTCGTTATTTACCAGGTGATTTGTACATTAATTTTGAATGTGTAGATAAGTATGGATGGATGTATGGGTACTCATTTCGAGGATAAAAAAATGGGCTGTCTCATGTTACTTAGTTTCTAATTGAATATAAACGGAACTCAATCTTCAAATGTCTTCAAATGAAATCAATCTCCATGACAACTATTCAATAATACTATCATTGTGATCGTTATAAACTCATTTTGACATAAGCTCTTGGAATTTGAGTGCAAATTAGTAACTGATGGATTGAAGAGATACAAACGTCAAGGTGAGGATTGGTAAAACAAGAACAGCATTCCTATAGTTGAAGAACATATACAACTCAAAACAAATGTCTCTCAACCAATATCAATGTCAAAATCTCCAATACGAATATCAAGACAGTTCTACTGTACGGAGCTGAAATGTGGAGAACTATCACTACGATCATCAAGAAGATACAACATACTCAATATCCGTTGGCTAGATACCATCAGTAACAACCTACTATGAGAGAGAACAAATCAACTTCCAGTTGAAGAGGGAATTAGGAAAAGATGATGAAAATGGATAGGACATACATAGTGGTGATCACCAAACTGTATCACAAAGTGAGCGTTAAGTAGGAACCGTGAAGAAAAACGGAAAAGCGGAAGGCCGAAGAACACATTACGTCAGGAATTGAAACAGATATAAACAGGATGAATAAGAAGTGGAGAGAACTGGAAATGACTGCTAAGGACAGAGTTGGATGTAGAATGGTGGTGAGCGACCTATGTTCCTTCACGGGAGGTAACAAGCGTAAGTAAGTAAGGATTTAAGATATATTGTAAGTGAAAAGTTAATCATCAGTGGCAGTAAATAATCGTCTAACTATATCATGTATGGACTTAAAATGAAAATGAATATTGTTGAATGACAGTACAATGATGTTATTTATAATCATCTATTATGCCACTGGTAATGATCTTCTATTTACATTTTATTGATGGATTACATGGTGGCTCCATTTTTCTTAGACATTTAATGCCTATCCCTGTTTTCGTTAATTCAACTATATGCTTATGAGTTAGATTAGGCTTCATTGTTAACACTTGTAGGTTTGTGCCCTTATCAGTGTATAATGTAATGATACCGCCAATTAGAGAACAGCGACTTATCGACCGGATTAATGACGTACAAAACCCGTACGAACAGTCAAGAATCTTTATCGGTCCTTCTTCCTGATTAGCCCTGCCTACCTGTTGAGTCCACAACACAAATCTCAGCCTTCAAGACATGAATCATGTATTTCAAACATACTGGTTTATATACAAACCAACCAGACCATATCGTACCATAAAAGGGAAAATAACATTTATACAAGATTTCGCCAAAAGTAGCTGTGAATATGGGGACTGTAATTAATAGACTGAGCATAACCGAATTTATTACTGATAATTTTACTGAATGGATGTTCGATCCTATTTGGGTCCTCATTGATTTTTCCAAAGAATATTTTGGAACTTTTCTACGATTTAGACTGTAATTACACTTATCTTTGTAA